GGGACCAAATTTATACTGGTTTCTCTTTTGTGAAGGTAAAATGAATTATTCAGTTCTTTTGGAGTGTATCATGTCCAAGTTTTCTATTAGTCTCTTGTTTTGTTAGTGAACGTCTAACACTTCAAGTAAACTTTGATCATTGCTTTCTTCAGAGGAACTAACAAACAGCCTTATTCCATTAACCTTATTTTCACACAGAAATGAACCTTAGATCATCACCTAACACAGAATTTAATCACAGACCAGGTTCAACTTTCTAGTTCTTTTAAATAAAGTAAATTTTTATGAAACCTATAGAAATTCATTTGTCTCCAAACATAGGTAGGAACAGGATTATCATCACATTCATACTGTTTCTTTATGACTCTTACCTTTTGTAATGTGGTAATGCTTCATCGAAGTATTCAAAAGAGGATTAAAATAAACATCATTTGGCCAAATTTCTAATTACCAATGTAATTGTATTTCAAATTTAATTAAAAAGACAATATGATTTTTAAACCATCTTTGTGAGTGCAACCTTAAGTCAAGACTCTTCAATAAAACAAATAGAGTTCTCCCAGTCAATGTCATGTTTATCTAAAAAAAAAAAAATGTTTAAATTCACCTACATCCCTGCCGTACGCCAATAGCTTAGGGGTAGATTTGCAAACTGATACCAAATCAGTCGTGTTTCAATCCTGGCTTGAGGTAATTACATGTCTAGCCACACTGATGAGCTATGAAACCGCATAAAACAAATTGTCTGTGGGTGACATATATATATATATATATATATATATATATATATATATATATATATATATATATATATATATAGGGGATAATTCAAGGAGGATATAAATCCAAAGAGAGCTCAATGTAAGAGCAGAAAAAAATATAATAATGATTTTATTTTGTAAAATTTGGTCTGAAGAGATGGGCATCTGAGCCCACGAAATAAATTGTCACCTGAATGGATTTTTAAGGATTCTGTATTCGTTATATATATATATATATATATATATATATATGAATAATACAAATAAAATTTGTCACTTAGCCCAATCTTATAATTGGCACCTCAACTCCAGAGGAGATTCTTGGACAAACTTCAGGAGACTTCACCAATTGGCTACCATTTTTCTCTCATTTTCTGTTATCTTTTTAAGTTTATATGACTTTCAAAATCACAATTTTATGTCATGCCTGTGTACTTGAAAATAATTAAAAAATGTCAGCATTTAATTTACAGCACTTATCTAATATTAAGCTTCATTATGGAGAAGTGATTGTACCATCAGTTTCTATTGTTGCCTTTGTTTACAGCTATATACATGAATAGCTTTTACAATGGAGGAGAAATATGTTTCCTAATCATTCGTAACATATATTCCCAAGAGAATTTATTACGAAAGATATCCACCTATAAAACACCCGTACGTAGAAGCTCGACTCAAAATAGCAAAGTAGCATCATACAGTCTATATTGGAACGGTTACTGTAGACAAAGAGAAATTAATGAAAAGTAATATAAGGAAATTTGACAAGAGGAAATTGAGTCTGGGAAATAAGTAGAATGAAATTATTTGGTAAAGTACCAAATCCGAACAATAAAGAGAGAAAAAATGGATTTGTATCACATCTTTTCTATGTTTGTGTCTGAAATGATGATAAACATAAGAATTACCATTTTTTGGTTTAATAACCTTATTTTCACACAGAAATTAGCGCTAGATAATCATCTAGCAGCTTAGTCTCAAACCAGGTTCAACATTCTAGTTCTTTTAAATAAAGTTATTTTTCTGAAACTTATAGAATTTTTTTTTTTTTTTTTTTGCTAATGTTCACCCAGTACAAGACCCAAGAGCTACTCAATGTAGCAGGTTACTGTGTGGCATTTTATTAGCTTAGGAAAGGACAAGCATTAGGAGTATAGAGCTGAAACAGATTTTTAGAAGGAACCTGAAACCAATCCTAAACAGGGAATAAAGGATGAACCCCTACTCCTCTTCAAAAGACCAGAGAGGAGTGAAAACTAGGTGATAGGCAAATCAATCTACTCCTATTGGGAGAAGATAAAAAAAATAAAATAAAAAAGGAAATAGTGAATAAAATTTCAGAGTTCAGATGTTATAGTATAATTATTTATTGCTGTTATTAATTTTCTACAGCTTAACGCCTTCACAGGTTATTTAAAGCAAGGAAATATTTTTAAATTCTAAGAATTTTTTTTTTTTTATTATTTTTTGGAGATGATAATGGTTTAGTGATACAAGTCTTACTAATTAATCCATCGGTGGGGGAGGGAAACAAGGTGGATTCATACCTTTCTCAAGGGTATTTGCACATATGTGAAAATAACGAAACCATCAGGAATTGGAACTCAACTCTCCAATTAACAATTCCGAGCCATTATCCATTACACTACCTGCACATCCAAGATTACAGCCCCCGGTATTCCCAAGTGGTCACCCATCTAGGTACTGACCAAGCTCGATGTCGCTTAACTTCAGTGATCTCTCTCTTTTTCAATGTGATGTGGCTGTAAGTTGGAATGTAATTATTATTACTATTATTCTTTATATGCCATATCCCTTCAGGGCATAGGCGATCATGGCTCTCTACAATTTCCTGTCTTTTGTAGCTCTTAATAAATGCTGTCTTTTTGTTATTTCTCCTGAACTTGCCTTCAATCTGTCCTGCAAGTATCAAATTTTCCAAGCCTTTTTTTCTCATTATGTGCCCTAGAAATTTCATCTATCTCATTCTGATGTTAAGTATAAGTTTCTATTTTGTTTCCATTTTCTCTAAAACTTTGTTGTTGCTCACATAATCGGTCTATGGTATTTTCAGCAACCTTATGTTGAACCAGATTTCTGTTTCTTCAAGTCTCTTCATTTTTGAGGAGATCATCCAGCACTCACTGCCATACAGGATGACAGATATCCCATAACAGTTTACTACTCTTCTTGTTTCAAGCAAAGTTTTTCTATTTCTAAATACTCTGCTTAGCTTTTTGGAATGCATCTATGGCTATTCCAATGTGGCCTTGGATTTTAATGTTGCACTTTCTATCGTCTGTTAAAACACTTCTTGATATTTAAATTTTTAAAAATGTTTGATTTTGTTACCTCTGATTTGCAATTCCCACTTTGGGTTCATCCTTTTGCTAATAACCATACATTCTGTCTTCTTGCAGTTGATGTTTAATCCTTTTTTCCTCCTTTTCCTTACATTACCTTCTGTGGGTGTTTTGGTAGCTTTCTTTCTGTGTCTGCTATAAACTGTGTCATCTGCATACCTTACGTTGTTAATATTGTGCCCTCCAAGAATAAATCCTGGTAGGACTACTAGTTCTCTCAGATTTGCCTAGCTGTGTAGGTTGAGTAAGTCCGGTGAAAAGATTATATACTGTGTCTGATGTCAGGCTGACCTAAACTAATTATAAAAAGTGACAATTGTTCTGATTTGCTTTCCATTGTTTCCTTATTTTAGTACCTCAAATATACAAATTAAAGTGCAGTACTAGATTGGCGGTAAAGTCTCATCATCCTACAGTTGTTTCTTTCTCTTTTGAACTCTTTCTTTCCTCTTTCTTTTTCTGCAGTGTTTGTCCTTTCTGTTTTCTTTTCTCATTTTCCCTCCTCCTTTTCTCTGATTTGCAATTTCCACTTTGGGCTCATTCTTTTGCTAACAACCATACATTCTGTCTTCTTGCAGTTGATGTTTAATCCTTTCTTCTCGTTTTCCTCCATTACCTTCTGTGGGTGTTTTGGTAGCTTTCTTTCTGTGTCAACACTGTTATCTACATATGTTATGTTGTTAAGATTGTGGCTGCCAATATTGAATCCTAGTAAGATTTCTAGTTCTCTCAGAATTGCCTTGCTCTATAGGTTGAATAAGTCTTGTGAAAAGACATCTTTGTCTTACATCTGTTCTATTTTTGTATATCTGCTGAACTCATTCTCTCTCCATATGCATTACTGCCAGTATAGGTTGCTAAACAGTTCCAATAGATCTTTGTGGTGTACTTTCTAAAATGCCTTTGCATAATCTACAAAACACAGGTACATGTCCTTCTGCATTTGTATTACTCTTTCTGGTAACATTCTGAGCATAAATATTACCTTTCCATGTTCCAGTGTATTTGATGAACCCACACTCTTCCTGTCCTATTTCCAGTCTGATTCTGCTGTGTGCTCAATTCATCAGAATTTAGATAAGTTTTCTTATATGGCTCATTCTGATGGAGTTCACATTCATTTGCACCTGGCTTCTTAGGCAGTGTTATGAAAATTGACCTACTTATGTCTTCCTGTATATCACCACTGCTGTAGATTTTATTTATTTCTGTAATCTTTTCTATGCCAAAATCATCTAACACTGTCATCATCTCTATAACAATTCTGTCTGGCCCTGCCACTTTGTTTCTGTTCAATTTGGACAGTGCAGATTCTGCTTCAGATTTTAATATTTTTGGTCCATCAATATTCCAGTTCTCTTTTGTCATGAAATATATTTGCTATATATATAGTATTTTTCTTTTGTCCTGTTAGTTATTTTTTTTTTTTAACCACATCTATATAGTGTCTATATTGTTTCTTGGTGAGTATTGAAAGAAATCAAATTTATGCTTGATACTCTGTATGTCAATAAACTAAAAGTTTTATTTAACCATATCAAATAATGAAAGGCAATTCATATCTCCATTTACTGCTGCCAATCAAAACATTATGGAAATTGAACAAGACTATTACGGAAGTTAAACAAATCTTTAAGAAAACTGAAGCTTACAATATTGGAAATTCCTATAAATATTCTTGCACTTAAGTTACAAATATACTCATTCAATTATCTCACTAGTGCATACCAAATCTCCCAATGTATCACTGTTGTTGTTATGCCTCTTGATTCCTTGGGGAACATAGGACTGCAACAAAACCTCTCCGACGGATGCAGTTCCGAGGAATCCTTTTCAGCTCGGCTCAGGTCGTGCCAGCTGCCTTCACCCCTACGTCAACACTTCTGTGCCAAGTCTGTTTTGGACAACCCGCTTTTTGCTCCCCTTGTGGATTCAAGTCAATGGCCTGATTGGTGACACTAGAAGTAGACTTGTGGAGTGTGTTGGCCGATCCATCACCATTTCCATTTTTTAATATCAGTCTCGACTGGGGCTTGTCTGGTTCTGTTCCATAGTTGGTCATTGCAGACGTCTTCCGGCTACCTGATATTAAGGATATTACTGAGATATTGGTTGGTAAATGTCTGAAGTTTGTGGTTGTTGGTCTTGGTTACCCACCAGGCTACTGAGCCGTAAAGTAGGACCGACTTGATGTTGGCATTGAAGATCCGGATTTTGTTATAAAGTGAAAGGGCTGTTGACATCCAGATTGGCTGCCAAGTGTTGAAAGCGTGTTGGGCTTTGTTGATTTGGCACTTGATATCTTCATCTGTCCCCACCCATCTTTACTAACAGCACTTCCCAGGTAGACAAACTTATTGACCTCCTTGATGTCTTCTTGACAATGTATCACTGCATTCACCTATCTTACATATTTGGTAAGAAAAAAAAATTTTTAAGTAAATAATTGTTTTATAAACATCTTTTTTTAAAACATCTCTTGTTTGTAAATATTTAAATATGATTGAGCAATTCAGTCACTCCTTTTCATTATCAGAACAGCTCAACTCATTGAAACAATGCATAGATCCTGTTAGCAAAATTTTACAAGGTTTTCATAGTCATATGAACATGTGCAATAGTCTATAAGTACTTTGCATAATTTACAATGTGATAATGGATATCTGATTCTTATATACTGTTTCATCATTGTGTATCATTTACAAACTTATTACATCATCAACTTATTTTCAATGTTCAACAATTATCTATAACCGTATCTATTAAAATATGTCATCACAGCATTAAGTAATGATCTATAAATCTTAGCTTATAGTTCAAAACTAGTCTCTTTATCTAAGTTAACTATACTATATGCTAGGGTTTAAGGGTTTAAGTATGTAAATCTTAAGCTACAAAGTATTGACAATTTAAGACACTGTATAGCTTTCAAAATTTTAAAAAGAAATGAAATTAAAATAAATATCTGGCTGTTTTAAAAAAGAGAAAGAATTGAAAAGAAGTCTCATTTCAAGAGGTTTTATGAAATCAAAGGAAGCCTGTCTTTATGAAAATTTTATTTATATTCATAGGCCCTCTGCATTTTAATCATAACCAAATATTTCAATAATGTATAGGTGAAGCGCTACAAATAAACAAGGAGTTGGAATTAATTAAAGATGAAATGTAATTGAAAAAAAAAATTTTTTTTAAACTGCCAAAAACTTTTGTTCAAGTATTTTGTTTACACATGTTTATTTACACTTAAAAACAATGGTCGTCAATAAACAGAGCTAAGGTTATCACTAGCACTATTTCTAAAAGCAAATATATTAATAATGATGGTGAACAGAAAGGGAAAGACAAATATCACAACTCTGAAAAGCAAATGATACTACCCACGTTGAGGGAGAGAGAAAGTAAGAGAGAGGTAGAGAGATCGAGAGAAAGTAAGAGAGAGGTAGAGAGATCGAGAGAAAGTAAGAGAGAGGTAGAGAGATCGAGAGAAAGTAAGAGAGAGGTAGAGAGATCGAGAGAAAGTAAGAGAGAGGTAGAGAGATCGAGAGAGAGAAAGTAAGAGAGAGAAAGTAAGAGAGAGAGAGAGAGAGAAAGAAGAGAGAGAGAGAAAGTTAGAGAGAGAGAAAGTTAGAGAGAGAGAAAGTTAGAGAGAGAGAAAGTTAGAGAGAGAGATAGTTAGAGAGAGAGAAAGTTAGAGAGAGAGAAAGTTAGAGAGAGAGAAAGTTAGAGAGAGAAAAGTTAGAGAGAGAGAAAAAGAGAGAGAGAGAGAAGAGAGAGAGAAAGAGAGAGAGAGAAAGTTAGAGAAGTAGAGAGAGAGAGAGAAAGAAGAGAAGTAGTAAGAGAGAGAGAAAGAGAAAGAAGAAGAGAGAGAGAGAGAGAGAGAAAGTAGAGAGAGAGAGAGAAGAGAGAGAAGAGAGAGAGAGAGAGAGAGAGAGAGAGAAAGAGAGAGAAGTAGAGAGAGAGAGAGAAAGAGAAGAAGAAGAGAGAGAGAGAGAAAGAAGAGAAGAGAGAGAGAGAGAGAGAGAAAAGAGAAAGAGAGAGAGAGAGAGAAAGAAGAGAGAGAGAGAGAGAGAGAAGAAGAGAAGAGAGAGAGAGAGAGAGAAAGAAAGAGAAGAGAGAGAGAGAGAGAAAGAGAGAAGAGTAGAGAGAGAGAAGTAGAGAGAGAGAGAGAGAGAGAGAAGGAAGAGAAAGAGAAGAGAGAGAGAGAGAGAAAGTAAGAGAAGTAGTTAGAGAGAGAGAGAGAAAGTAAGAGAAGTAGTTAGAGAGAGAGAGAGAAAGTAAGAGAAGTAGTTAGAGAGAGAGAGAGAGAGAGAGAAGTAGTTAGAGAGAGAGAGAGAGAGAGAAGAGAGAGAGAGAGAGAGAAAGTAAGAGAAGAAGAG